AACCAGCACTAGCTTTGCCGAGAGCTCTCTTCCTTGGTGACACAAATGCTACATCTTTGCCCAGCCCTCTCGGCCTCAAATCTTTTCATTACTCCGTTGCCACATTTATACACAAAGGACCAGACTCATGCCATGCACACAGGCCACTAAGTCCGGCCACTAACCAACTAATCCCTAACTACATGTCTACATGCACGCCCACGTCCAGTACATGCGCAACGTCCTCTCAACAGCTACACGATATGGACATGCAGCTAACAAACTTGACCACATCTAATACTAGACCTCTTCTCAAGGCCACAACAGACTTACTGATCGACTCGGCTGGACTCTTGCTGGCCGCTGGCTCTTATCCTTGTGCAGCCGCTTCACACGGCACTCGGCATCTCGCACCTCCGCCGCCTCGCACGGCAATAGCATCTCACCATGCACGTTCTTGGGCCGACGGCTCGCTGTCTACGTACGTATCACACGTACATCTTGCCGGTGTACAGCCGACGATATGACTACACTAGCTACATGCAAAACAAAAAAACACATGCAGATACATATGCCAAGATTAGTTCTAACAAGAATTGGGTTCTCAAGGGGGACGCAAATACGGCCTACTTCCAGGCCATCGCTAATGGCCGCAGACGCTGAACTCCATCCCCCTCCTGTGGGACGGAGCGACCCTCCTTCAGCGGCTAGAGGAGATCCGGACCCATGTAGATGGCTTTTACAGAGATCTATTCTCTGCGTCCCCTCGGGGAGGTCTTGCCTTAGCGCAAGACATTTGGCCTGCCCACTGCTGTGTTACGCCTTTGGACAACGAGGCCCTCATGGCCCCGTTCTCCGAGGCTGAAGTATGGGAGGCAATAAAGAGCATGAACCCATCTTCGGCCCCTGGACCGGATGGACTCCCAGTCAAGTTCTTCCAGACCTTTTGGGAGGTGATCAAACCGGAGGTGATGGCCCTGTTTGACGAGTTCTTTGTTGGGTCCATTGACCTCAACCGGCTGAACTATGGGGTAATCACGCTCATCCCCAAGGTGGCTGGGGCGTCCGACATTCGTCAATTTCGGTCGATTACGGTGATTAATGTCATCTTCCGCATCCTTGCCAAGGGGTACGTCATTAGGGCGGCTCCTATCACCGACCGGATCACCCACCCGGACCAGTCAGCCTTTATTCAGGGCCGTTATATCCTTGATGGAGTCTTGGTGTTCCATGAAGCGCTCCATGAGGTGCACTCCAAACACCTCAAGGCAGTCTTCCTGAAACTGGATTTCCACAAGGCCTACGACACGGTCAGTTGGACCTTCCTTCGGGAATGTCTTCTCCGTAAGGGCTTCGACGACCGGTGGGTGACTAGAGTGATGTAGATGGTGTCCTCGGGGCGCACTGCGGTCAGTATTAATGGGGAGATCAGCCCTTTCTTCCCCACATTTTGTGGGGTTCGTCAGGGTGACCCCTTCTCTCCGTTCCTGTTTAACATGGTGGTAGATGCCCTGGCAGCCATCCTTGAACGGGCCAAGGCGGCTGGCCACATTAAGGGAATAGTTCCGCATCTGGTTGGGGGGAACGGTGTATCCCTCCTCCAATATGCGGATGACACCATTATCATGGTGGAGGGCTCGGAGTGTGATATCGCCAACCTCAAGTTCCTCCTGTTGTGCTTCCAGCAAATGGCCGGCCTGAAGATCAATTTCGACAAGAGTGAGGTGATGGTCTTGGGCTACACCCAGGAAGAGCGCCAGGGCATTGCGAATCGGCTTAACTGCCACCTCGGGTGCTTCCCCACGACTTACCTGGGGATCCCCATTAGTGACTCCAGGCTTACGGTGGACGAGCTGCGCCCCACGGTGGGGAAGCTTCAGCACCGGATCGAACCCTGGCAGGGTAGATGGCTCTTGAAAGCTGCCCGAACGGTGCTCATCAACTCCTCCCTCTCCAGCCTACTATTATTCATCATGAGCTTCTACAGCCTCCCCGAGACCCTCCATCACGAGATCGCCACCGTCCAGGGGCGTTTCTACTGGGCCGGCGAGGGTGATAAGCAGAAGTACCACATGGTCAAGTGGTCGGAGATCTGCAAACCCCGCGACCAGGGCGGTTTGGGTATCATGTCTTCCAAACGCATGAACATTGCCCTACTGACTAAGTGGCTATGGCGGATCGCTAATGGAGAAGGTGGACTGTGGCTCCGCATTATTCAGCAGAAATACCTCCGCGGTCAGCCCCTTGCCTTCTGCCAGCGTTCTGGGGGATCACAGTTCTGGCAGTCCATCATCCAGCTCCTCCCTGTCCTTCGGATCGGAACCTCCATCGTGATTGGCTCCGGCACTGCCACCTTGTTCTGGTTTGACAGATGGGCGGGCGACTCGCCCCTTGCGGCCCGCTTCCCAAACCTCTTCTCCATCGCGGTCACGTCGCAGATCTCCGTGGCAACCGCCCTTACTGACCTAGGGCAACTAGCGTTCCGGAGACCTTTCGGTCCGGCTGAGATCGAGGACTGGCAGGACCTGCTCGACTGCATAGCTCTTCACGAACCTGAACTCTCGACGAACGACGACCGTGCCAGATGGCGGTTAGAGCCATCCGGGCAATTTTCCACCAAATCCCTCTACCTCGCCATCGCCCCTTCGCTTGGTCATGAGGCGCTTTCCTCCATTTGGGAGATTCGCCTCCCCCTGAAGATTAGGATCTTCCTGTGGCATTGGATTCGTGGCCGCCTCCCTTCTGGTGTAGAGGTTCTGAAGCGCAATGGCCCTGGAGACGGGCGCTGCCGCTCTGTGGACCTAAAGAAGATTCGAACCATATCTTCTTCACCTGCATGTCCGCGCAGTTTCTCTGGAGCTGTTTCCGCGAGATTGTGGGTGGAAACTGGGACCATAACAATTTCCCCGCTCTCTTTGCCGAACTCCAGGCGATCCCTCCCGCGTTGCGCCACACTAGGTGGCTGACCATTGGGGTCCTGGCCTGGACGCTGTGGACTGTTAGAAATAAACTTGTGATTCAGCATATTCCTCTTCGTCGTGCGACTGATGCTTTGTTCAAATGGTCTGGTTACTTGCAGCTTTGGCGGCCGCTTAGCCGGCCCAGGGAGAGAGACGCTATCACCTCCATCATCACCCAGCTACATGCGATGGCCCTCCGTTTGACGCTGCCGCTTCCCCCACCTCCTCCGGAACCTGATTAGATCGTCATGTCATCAACTCCGCCGCCACCGTCTGGGATTGTGTCATCGTCCTCTCGGGTTGGGCGTGATGTGCTGTGCCCACAGCGGAACTTGGGTTTTGTGTGTGTGTGTCTGTGCTTGTTGGTGTGGTTCCTGACTTGCGGTGGCGTTGCGTTTGTGCGTGTGCTGTGTTCTGTTGTTACCTTGATACTCTGTGCTTGGTGGGTGCTTTATTTATAAAGTGGGGCGAAAGCCTTTTTCAGTAAATGCAAATATAAGTAAATGTACATGCATTTTGCTATGGAACAACAGTAAATTTGAACCTGCCTACTATGAGTATTAGATTTACTAGTCAATATTTTCATACTGCTCGGACAGTTGGCATGTCTTTATCAAATGTTTGGTCATTTAGACAAGTATGCGTGTGTCACCCATCCACAGTCACAGTCAAAGTCATCCATGGAGACTTTTCTATTTTGCCAAGAGTCGTGCTGTTATATTAATATAATGCCACCTGACTAGTTCGAGGCACATACGGGGATCATCAGAAAGTCCACTATGGTTCTCAAATATGATCATAACCATGGTATCTGAAACTTCTCCCGTGGTAAAATTGTGATAAACAACCACACGAAGCCACGAGTTAGTGGCGTGCCCTGTTTGATCGCACACTTGTGCATTAAGTGAGACAGAGCACGAATGCCATCATTAAGTACAAGGTGGAGCTGAACTCTTTTTTTGACATCCCATGGAGCTCAATATTTTTTCAACATTATCTAGCGGCATGTAAATATAGTGGTGCAGGTGTATTTTCTTTTCTCGATTTGTTCGTCTGCTCTGAAAATAAGCACAAAGGACACTTTGTTGGGGCAGAGTCCATTCAAGATGCCTCTTGACAATTCGTTTTGAGCTGTGTGGTTCTCCTTGAGGCCTTTCTGTACAATTTTGGCCCACAATGATGAAGCATTTTCTAATGTAAATTTCAGACTGTCTCGTGCTTTGGTAATTGAAACTATCATACTCAGTACAGGGAGAAACTATACAGGAGGTACAATACAATTTCTTGTATGAACATGCCTTGTAGTTCTTCTAATAAAAATAAAACCAAGTTGGATCATACTATTTGCTTTTCCATTTTTACCATTGTGGAGATCAACATCAGGTCAAGCCTGAACTCTAAAGAAAGCAGAAAGTGCAACAATTTTCGATTAAAGAATGAACTAGCACAAAATAAGCCACATATAATTGATTGGATTCTGATGAAACCAGAGGAGCAAATATAGAACAAACTAGTTACATGTGCTCTGAAACTAAGGTATAGAGCTGTGATTCTCATCATTGACCGAGATAAAGGGGAGCATACCATTTCCTTGTCAACGAGCTGTGGCGCTACTTCTTCACTGAAGTTCATCTGGCAAAAGCCAAATAATTTCCAAGGTCTGATGGTCAAACGTTGCAACAGCAGGCTGCACATGTGGGATCCCATTGCCTTGTATGTTAAATGTAAAAGGAATCCAATGGAAGACAAATGCAAAGAAATTAAATATACAATTTGCTATGGGACAATAATCAATTTGAACCTAGTGCGAATATTACAAATACTGGTAAAAAATATCCCATCCACAGTCTAGACAAGTATTTGTCAATGGAAGACACTAGTGCTGTCATTGTCAAATATTTGGACATTTAGACAAGTATCTGTGTCACCCATCCAGTCACAGTCAAAGTCATCCATGGAGACTTTTCTAGTTTGCCAAGAATCTCCACAAGACTTGGCAGAGACAAGCCAAGTTAAATTTGTCCAGAGACCGACCAGCAGTTTACCTCATCAATCCCAGCCATGGAGACTGCCATATCTGCAGTTGCAGGTGAACTTGTGAGCCAGTTCATCTCCTTCCTAATAAACAAGTACAACTCCTTGAGCCATGCCCGATCAGAGGAGAAGGGAGTGGAGAGGTTGCAGCACCTCCTGATGAGAGCTGGCACCATCGTTGAGGAGGCAGACGCGCCATACATAACCAACTCCGGGATGATGATGCAGCTTAAGACGCTCTCGGAGGCCATGTACCGAGGATACCGTGTGCTGGACAACTCAAGGTACCATGCCCTCCAAGACAGTGCCGGCTTCGACGAGGTTAGAATCAATGACTCATCTAGGAACAACTTATATATAGCCAAGCGCTCTCGAATAACAAATGATATGGCCACGTGCCTCGAGTCACATGGTGCCTTGGAAAGCTTAGAAATTGCTGTTGCTAACATGGCAGAATTTGCTCTGCTTCTGGGTGGATTTGAGCGTATGTCTCGTAGGCCATAAGACGTTTATCTTTACACCGACAACTTCATGTTTGCCCGACACGCTGAAAAGCAAAAGCTCTTGAGCTTCTTGTTGCAGCGTAAAGGCCCTCCTGGAGATCATACTCTGGCAGTTCTTCCGATCATAGGTGATGCGACAACGGGGAAGAAATCTTTGGTTGCTCATATGTGCGGCGACGAAAGGGTCCGCTCGAGCTTTTCCTCTGTACTGCACTTGAATGGAGACAACCTTTTGAGAATACTTGACCATGGAAGGACCATGGGAGGGATGATCTTGATAGTTATTGAGTTTGCTTCTGATGTAAGTGACGATGACTGGAAAAGGTTTCACTCATTTGTCATAACAATGGGCAGAGGAAGGAAGATCATCATCATAAGTAAACTTAAAAGATTAGCCCGGTTTGGATCAGTGAAACCAATTTTCCTGAGCCTTTTGACTGACGACGAGTTGAGGTACCTTTTCAAGAAGCTGGCATTCGGAAGTGTAGACCCTGCAGAACATCCACGGCTAGTACAAATAGCAGATGAATTCGCCAAGGTGTTGCAGAATATGGAAGGTTCAATTGTCGCAACAAATTTGTACGCAGATGTGTTGAGAAAGAATCTCAATGTTCAGTTTTGGCGTTGCATATTGGACAAGGGGAGAAGATATGCTAACAGAAACCACAAGGCCATACAGCAAGGGCATCCACTGGACATAACAGACTTTGCTTTGTGTCCACTTAGCATGACACATCATATAACTGATGTTTCAATCAATGAGGAATCACCAAGTGTGACATTGGGGGAAATTCTGGCAGATCCTAGTGTTAGACCGAAAGGAGACTTCACTCTAATTACATGGGACTCAAGGAGACTGATTATCTTCTGAAGAAACCAACCAAAGGAGCAAATGTACAGACAAACATGCTTACATGTACCCTTGAAAGATTACTGAAGCATGGAGTTGTGATTCTCATCATCACTGACCAGGATAAAAAGGGCATGTATCTTACCTAGCCGATGACTTGCGCGTCGCTTCTCCAGTTGATCTCCACTGAAGTTCATCTATCTAGAAAACCAAAACAAATTCCATGGTCAAACGTTGCACATGCATACTGAACAAGGGGATAAAACTGGTCAACATACACCTCTCCATATATGGCGTGCACCCAACCCATGCTTACAGAACAATGGCATCTAGTGGACATAACGGACCTTGCTTTGCATCCATGTAGCATCATGATACCTTGTACGATCAAGGAGGAATCACCAACCGTGTCATAGGGGCACTTGTAGCAGACCCTGGTGTCAGATCGGAACAAGACTTCACTCTAATCGCATGGGAATCAAGGATACCCCCACATAAATCATTTGTTCATTATGTGACAAGTCGTGCTCAGGATGATACACATAAGGTGGCAGTGCCTTGCTGGGCAGGAGGAAGGGACGAGGAATGCCAATCTAATTTTGCTTCAGACTAGTGCAATCTGCAATGTGTAACACTTGTTGTATACCAGCGAACTACTCCCTCCGTTCGAAAAAGCTTGTCCCAAACTTGTCTTTCAAATGGATGTATCTAGCCCTAACTTGATGCTAGATACATCTATTTGAGGACAAGCTTTTTCGGATGGAGGGAGACTACAGATCTCAATTGACGTAGTAAATCAAACTTTTGTCATGTTTTATCAGATCCAACAACCCCTCCTGCTCTTATAAGATAGCGAATTCAACAAACGACATCATCTAAGGTGGCAGATCAGATGCCCACTGCTACCACTCCTCACTATCACTTAGCTCGTCTCGGTAAGGTGGTTTGCTAGCAAACAGAAATCAAACCAAAAGAAAGAGGTTCTGAGTCTGACTAGCATTCTGATACCAACCATCAACTCTGTATAGTCACGGTAACGCTCTTGCATGTGTTGTGCATAGAAGAAATGCAGATCAGATCAGGCTGCAGTTGCAATCACAGACGCGATTAGATCAAGATTCAATAAGTCTGCTTAGGTGCCGGGGTCCTTGAAAAAATCAGTTGATTTGGCGAGATTTGGGAGGTCGGAGAAGGTTTAGATTGAGTTTGCCGGGGATTTGATTTCCAAGAACCGGCAGAGCAACGCGGCGGCGCGCTGCATCTGCGAGGTTGCCGTCAGCGAGGCTCCGCTCGGGCGCCCGCAGGCCCTAAGCGCAACCGACCGAGCTAGGCGCCTCCCCTCCCTCCCTCCCTCCGCCAGCTTTGCGTCGGCGACCACCGTGGATCCGCACGACGGCGACACCTGCGTGCTTGTGCTTGGCGGCTCGGACTAGACACTGACAATTGGGTCCCACCGAAAAGATAAACGTCTTTTTTTTTGCTGGAGAAAGCTGAAAATGGTTTGGTCCATCCAACACTTTTTCTTTTTGATTGATTGAGAATCTGGTCCACCCAAAACTGGGATCAAGAAAACTGGGGTACGTTTGAAAAAGGAAAATCTGAGATATATTTCTTGGATGGTAAGTCTGACCCTTAAAAGCACAATATAAGCTTATGCTCATAATATAAGAGTCCCGTTTGGTATGATCACGACCCCTCTGATTCACATTTTAATTACGACTAGCTTATAAACATTCTCTCCAGCAATAAGAAAGCTTATAATTCTCCGCATGGCTAACATCGTTAGTGGTGTTCTCTGTTCCCCATGTTTGCATGTTTCTAGTCTTTTTCTAAGTACTCCCTCTATAAAGAAATATAAGAGTGTTTAGATCACTAAGAAATATAAAGTGTGCTATACTTCGTGTGGTATTTGACCATTGATATGTAACAAAATAGTTGGGTTTACGTATATATAAATAGTGTCATCGTATTATCTTGTGAAATATTTTTATGCCATATGTCTTTATATTGATTTTATACATATATTCTAAGAAAAAAAATCATAATCAAAGTCCAAAACAGTAAAGGATGCATTACGCTTTGAGGAGGGAGTGCATGTGAC